GCACGCAAAGGCCAACGAGGAACGGTCCTACGACACAGTGCAGTCTTCGGGCAGCAACCCTGTGCCCCCAGCTGTTGGCAAGGCTAAAGCTGCTGTGCCGGCAAGGCCCCCCGGCATAGAACAGCCTGCAAGCTGCGCCTCCGTGCCTCTCAGAGGTAAAGCATCCACGCCACCACAGTCCGGCTACAGCGTAAGACCTGCTGCTAAAGCGAGTGGCATAAGACCTGTTGCTAAAGCGAGTGGGTCCGCATCATCGAATGCAAAGTTTCCGCCGATTATTGTTCAGCACACGAGAAGCATGCATCGAGAATAACTGGTTGCAGTTATTGTCGGAGGATGTCGGAGGTTGAGCATGAGGGAGAGCTGATGATCACCCTGCGAGCACACTTCTCGAGCCCCACCGCAGTGGGCCTTTTTTTGGGCAACTGTTTTCACGGGGAGGAGGAGGGGGGGGTGTATGCCACAATCCCAAACAAACAGAACATTAGAGCTGTTTGGTTCTTTGTTGTGGGTGCATGGAATCCTCACACTCCTCCCCTACCACCATCTCTCCCCTGTGATCTCGGAGCCGAGATACATTTTACATGACAGCCAGGCTGCAAGACCCGTGTTGAAGTCAAGCCATTGCTCCCACAGGAACCAAGCAAGGCCTCGGGCAACACAAAAAAGCGTTTCTGGTTTGAGCAAATCTCCATATGACCCCAAAAAGGACCCCTAGAAGCACCTTGTAATCCTAAGGGCCCAGATGCCACAAAGGCAACTGTGGCATTGGCATGGTTGCGAGAATGTATCGCCGAGCGAAGCTGCATGCCGCTTGCATTTTTCTGCATCTGTTGGCATGCAGTAGTAATAATAGTATCAATGACAACAGCAGTGGTACGGTAATAGTAGTTGCAATGGTAGTAGCAGTGGTAAAGGTGATTTCAGTAGAAATAATCACGGTACCTACCAACAAGGTGCCCCACTTGGTTGCACGCACCAACCTCAGATCCACGTCGCAGGTTAGCTGTGCAGTGGACACATGTGACCCGTCATCTAAATTCCTAATAGGGGACTACTAGAGGGGATTAGAGGGGCTATTAATGGGGACACGAGGAGTTTAGACTGCAGGACACTGGTGCCCGGAATTGCAGTATAGCAAGAGGTGATGTACAGCCAAGCCATGGTAGATCCAGGTGCTTAGCTGAGGCGCGACGGTAAGCCTATCATTGGGAACTTCTGAGCCCAGCCCATCAAAAATGCAAATCTGACCAATCCTCACCACTAAGCTGAAGAGGTGCATCTTCATGATGTGGATTTTGCACTGGTCAGCGTAAGGGTGTCTATGTTTGTAGGGTAAGGACGTGCTCCATGATTTGCGAGATGGCTTCGTTGTGCTGCAATGTTCAGATGGATCGTACTTCTGAACAGCGTGTACTAGGGGCTTTATTACACAGAAGCTACCTACTGGACCTCTGACCTGAATGGATTTCAGTGAGGGGCTTGATGCAGACCCCATCATTTCATCATGCCACAGAACCTTTAAGCCCATCTGAGTGAATATGGTCTGGCCGAATGCACCATTCTGTCAATCCCCTCTTCCATAGACTCCATCCCTGGCCCTGCTGAAAAAATACATCTCAATCTTGTGGCAGGTCATCCAGGTTGCTGAATGCATCATCGACATCCTGAAGCACCAAAGGCAACTGCCACGTTCTGCAGGATCAGTTACAGTGCCAGTGCCCATGACCTTCTCAGATGCAGAAGTCAACATATCGATATGGTTTCGCTGGCAGATCCTGGCACGCCTCTATCCCATGCACCCAAACAGGCACTACTGCTAATACCAAAATCCTGCATGAGCTTAGTATACTGTAACACCACAATTCCCAAGGAGAAGGGTAGTTACCTCAGGGTCATGAAGGATTTCAGTATCAACTCCAGTGCATCGGCTTGGCATTGATACGACTTGGGCACCGCAGTAGTTTGTAGTGCGGCTACCTACCCAACCCCCAGACTTGCATGGAACATGAAAAGTGCCTCATGTAGACCTCTGTCCTTAAAGCAGTCCTATATGAGCTATGATATTGAATTTTTTGGGGGGGTTATAGAAGGGATTGTAGAAAGGGCCTGGGTTACTAAGGGGGATACGACGAGTCAGACTATGGCTCATATGGTGTCCCATATTGGTTTGGGTGAAGATCGTGAATGTTTGCAAGTCAGCGTGGCCTTTGCAGTGCTGAGCAGCCCCATCCGCTCAGCACTCCCCACAGCCAAGAACCTGACCCCTTTGCATTCTCAGAACCTTGAGTAATTCCCAATGCTTGTACAAGTGACTCTGCTCTATCATTTTCAATCATATTATACGTGCATGTATTTCCATAGAGTCCCCCCCCACTCCCAACAAATCAGAATGCTAGGACCCCATACTCGTGTCTCGTAAGCTTGTCTGCCACACACTCACACGTCCAGGGCCTGGGTGACCTATAAAGCTTCAAAAACTAAGTCCGAACCCTCGGGCCTCCTTGTGCATCTTCCGCCTTGTTCGGTTCTAGGGTGGCAGGGCTCTAGATTTTCCCAGGCCTCAGGGCCTCAGAGTCTTAAGGTTTTGGCGGAAAACAGGGCTATGTGTTGCGGCCTTTTCCAAACAAAGATGAGATGCTTTCCAAAACTGGGGTCCGTGCCTTACAGCAGGCTGTCAGAATGATGGGATAGTCAGGGTCCAGAGTCAGTGCACGTGCAAGACGCATGCAATTGCAACGCATACATATATTCATGCATGCTGCCATGCATGCATCTATACATACTTACGTACATGCATACAGGCATACGTGGTGCATACAAATTTGTGTACCAACATAATATAAAGGGACAGGCTGTAGCACGCTCTCAGATTATTGAGCAGTTTTTCTCTTCCATCATCACAGTAGTGCAAGGTGCTGAAGTTCAGTCTGTCCACCAATGCCCGCCTGCTACACACAGTCTTCATGAATGTGTAGGTCCGGCGCCGACGATCCCGTGGGATATCGTTGGACTTTCTGACCAGCAAACGTCATAATCAGCGTACCATAAAAGAAGCCAACACAGAAAAAGAGTTGACTGAGACCGCAAGAACACTGGGGCGATAAGGCACATACATCTTGAAACAAGAGCTAACCAGAATGGGGGAATCTGAACTGCACAGTTTCTGACACCCGGCACTTGGGCACTCGCTGAGTAATTCGCTGGACCCCTCCGGATATGTTTCAATGTAGTTAGTTGGAATGAAGTGCTGTTGTTCTGAGCAGCAAAAAGGTGCCAGGTGCGCTCTGCGAAGGTTTGAATCTTGCCTTCAATGTGTTGACATCTCAAACGCATTCCTGAGATATTTCTTGATCCCCAAACCCTAAACCCTAAACCCTAAACCCTGAACCCTAAACCCTAAACCCAATGATGTTGTCGGCTCACGCAGTGTGTTGTGCGTAGGGCCAAATGGTCCATGGAGCCTGACACCTCTCAGCTCTTAGCACGCGCACGATTTGCAAGACGCTCGGTGTCATAAGGGTTTAGGGCCCAATCATGGAGAAGCAAATAGAAAAGAACATGGAAAATGAAAATCGACACGCATAGGGTTTAGAAGGATCAGGGTTTTCAAAAATCATGATTTTTTCGGTGTACCTATATTAAGAGGATTGTAGTATGTTGGGGTCCGCATTGGGGTCCCCCCATTCTGGGAAAGTACCATACACGGCAATGATTCAAAATGAGGTCTCCTGTGTTGAATCCTAGGAATGATGAGGGTGTTAAGAGTAAGAGCATGGCCATTGCAAAGGTGGAGGTAATATATCTAATGGAACTCTTAGTCAAGGATCATGGTAGTCCAAAGCCGCTGTGAAGTGGACGCTCTGACCCGCAACTGGCCCCAAACCAGAACGCAAATGGCATGGGTGGCGTTGGTGGTAGGTGCAAGAAGAATTCGACTTTGAACAGCTATTGACCCAACCGTATACTTGGAGTGTTGATCTCATCATTCCTACTGTTGTTGTTGATGGTGTTGTCTTTGCAGTTCCTGCTCCTGTCATTATCAGGCTCTTCTCACGGCTACTTCTGTTCTAAACCCCGAATTCTAAACCCTATGCCCCAAAGCCGGAACCCTAAACCCTGAGCCCCACAGCCTAAACCCTAAACCCTAAAGCCGAACCCTGATGGAGCACTTGACGGATGTTGGCCCCAGCAACTCGTTCAGGAAAGCACCTGGCCACTTGACTTCTTGGTCTGCTGGTCAGGCACAACTGCGTTGAGGGTTTAGGGTATAGGATCTTGTGAGGCTCTTGGTACGGAATCTCAAATCTTCGACATCTGGGCAGCCTTCAACTGTGAGCCCTTTCTGGTACTCGGTCTTGATACAACACCTGGTATATGAGAGTGAGCAGTCTTAGTTTTGGAGACTACAAAATTGGTAGGCATGCGATGTGAGAAAGCGCGATTGAGTCAGAGAAGGTCTGCGGCATCAACCTTGTTTTATCTGGCCTGCTGTGGTGATGACAGCGTGAGAGAATTGGTGGAAAGAGTAGTATAGCTTGTGTGCCATGGTCATAGTGAAAAACTACCACTGTGTGGCAATTTCCTTAAATAGGGGAGCCCCATTATAGACCCCCATTATAGTCCTTATTATGGGGACCCTCAAAGTGGTACCCCTGATTTTAGGACCTCCCCCCCCCAGTGTTTACTGCCCGTCGTCGAATACTTGCTGCTCCACCTCGTCCTCCTCCTGCTACGGCTTCCACCGCCGTACCACCAGGAAGACCATCATTGCTGTTTCTGAATCTACCATAATATACTATAATATACTATAAAGTACTATAATGCACCATAACATACGACTATGATATACAATTATGATATACTGTAATTTTGTCTTTGCAGCTACTTTTTTCCCAAAGTAGAGGATTATCCTCTATTGGGGCATTTCCAAATTTCGATGGAAGCTCCCATGTCTAAATCTTATTGCGACTGTTCTGATGGAGGTGACACTCCGCTCTATGAGTGGGCAGAGCCCGGAGTACGGCGCGTGCTCCAAGCCCAATCCGAAAGAGAAGGTCCCGGCTGCAACCTGCCCCCAACCCCCGGCAGACACAGCTGCTATGAAGAAGTGCAGTGCCGTTGCTATTAAGGAACTTAACTCAAGTTACTATAGAAAGGATACCCTATCATTTGCTACATACCGCATGTTGTGGTAACCTAGTTTCAGTTGCTTCACAGCAACCCAGTAGAAGCTAGCAGTTTCAAGTCATTCTTATAGGAAGTGGTGACTGACAGGTCGCGACTGCAGGATCGCATGGAAGGGCACCACCTAGGAAGATATTCTGATCTCTCGTGTTCTTGCTGCATCATGGGGACCCTAAACCCTGAACCCTTAAACCCAACACGCTTACACCCTAAACCCTAAACCGAGGACTGCAGGTTGTGGAATTAAGGGTAAATCCAAGCGGAAGTTACTCTAGTCTTGATACATGCCCGTGAGAGCCCTAGCAACCTCTGCTGTCTTGCAGGATGTGGCCCCTCCTGCTCAGGCCAAGCTGTGATGGCCTCAATGTCCAAAGCCAGAGTTCGGGAAGCCAATAGCCGCCACCCTCTCTTTACACGTCTACGATGACTGCTATTCTTCTTATGTTTCATCGCGCTAGCACCGCTGCGATCATAGCCAGCACTGCCCAATTTCTTCACTCTTAGTGCTCCTGAACCCGAGGATGGTCCATGGGCCCATCTTTGTGGAAAACCCAGACGGATCCATAACAGAGGCCTTTTTGTTGGGATTCAGGCTGCCAAGTATTTATGCTGCAAGGAGTATAGATGGTATTGCTGTTTTTTAGGTGTTTGTATTGTGATATGAGCTTTACTGATGCAGCGGGCACCGCTGTCCCCGCCCTGCCACCACCACGACCACCAGCACAAACGTTGCTACTGTGACTGTGATTGCACGATGTAGCATTCTTTGGTTCTTGGGTGTGCAGTGGTGGTATAAACTCTTCTGAGACAACATGGCATAGAAGACATAACTTCTGTGTTTCCACCCGTGTATCGCCAATAGCTGGTATTGCCGTCTTCCTGACATGAGCCACAGTCTAAACTCCTTTAAAGGGGGTCTATAAAGGGATGTTATATCGGGACTACTATACGGGTTACAAAGGGGGATACTGGGGGTTTAGACTATAGCTCACATTGCCATTGAAGTGCGTGGCAGGCTGTGCCCTCTGATGCGAAACAAGCCAGGCGTCTTTGAGGGATTAGCTTGCATGGTTCAGGCCCGAAACAGAGGTAGGTTTGAAATAAATTTTCAGTTCTTTACCCAGAATCTCTATAGAATCCTTATAAAGCCGTAAAGATTTAATTTTTATAGGGCCCCCAGGCCACCCTGCTAATCCAGAACTCTTAATCCGTAATCCTAAGGGTTTTGGATGCAGAGTCCAGCGAAGTGCACCTCGAGAAGGGAGGGTGGAGGGTGTCAAGCTGTTTTTGCCCGCAGCAAAGACCAGACTTTAGAGAGTTTAGCTTGGGCTCAGGGGGTTACAGGACACTATATAACACATATAGGGGTTATAAAGGGATAATGGAAAATAAAATGGAAACTACCGTTTAGGTTCGGGGTTTAGGGTTTAGCGTTTAGGGTTAGGGTGGGCTGCATTGGGAACTCTGGGCTAGAGCTCACACTGCTGAATTGGCTGTAACGTTCCTTTGTGATTCTCGGTTCTGTGTTGTTGTTTGCACCCCCTAACGTCATCAGAACTGCAGGTGCCATTTTCTGCTCTCCTCAGAGAGGGATATTCTGGCTTGTGCGCGTTGGAGTCACAACTGAATCACCGAAGGGGATCATGTACGTTCTCTTCGACTCGTGTTTTGCTTCGTCTCATCACATTTAGCAGTATTCCGGGCAGGATCTTAACAGATCTTGACAGGCTGTGGCGCCTGTTTGCAGGTATGAACTCAAGAAGTAGGATGCAGGGTTGAGGACATGATGGGCGGCTCAGGGTTGACCTGCCAGGCCAAAGACGGATCGGGGGCGACGTGAGCCTACGTCTTGGTGAAAGTCATGGGTACCCAAAGTTACGGCCCTTTCTGTTGTTGGGTCTTTGCACAGGTGTAAACTCTCTGCCTAATCACTTGTCCCAACTCAAGTGTACAGTAGTCGTTCCGGAAAAAGCTTCCGAGCATTAAGAGCAATGTTGGGACGGGATTCACCTCTTGGAGAGATTTGAGCCAATTCTTGAATTTTATGATGTTTGGGCCTCCCCAAAGATGCCTTGTTATAAGGCAGAAGCATTATCAACAGCACGAAGGGGTTCTTGATCTCATGCAAGGACACTGGCTGTCTCGCTACAGAATCCCTTCCAGGCCCCATACATCCCGAGGGCACCCGGGCCGTAAAGCTAGTTTAGCGCACAAGGTGTAATGGCATCTAGTGGAAATCTCTGCAGCAGGACATGAAGCTCCGCCCATATCAGACCTACATTTTCCTGTTTGAAGCTAAGTGAACACCACTTGTGAATGGTATCCAAGTATAGTAGCGTTCATGCTGTTGTCGACAGTGAGATAGTACCAATGCGGAAATGAGTAGTCGTGACGCGTCTACTAGGAGAGCAGCATCTCAGCTGAATAGTTTAAGCCTTCTCCAGCTGTCCCGAGTTCCAATGCTGATGGAGATAGCGACAGCAGCGGAAGCGGTTCCAACGCCAATGGGATCAGCATGACCCAGGAGGTTGGCAGAGTGCAAGTGGTTGAGCGTTTTTGGGGCCTTCGCCTTACATCGTGTACATATTTACATTACATATAAATATCAATTAGATAGACATGTGCCTGCTAGGGGCAAGCGCAGTATTTCTCATGGTCTCTTTGTTATGACTACTGGGTACTGATAATATCATGACGACTGATACTGGTGTTCTTTTTTCAGCTGCCAGTTTGCCCTGTGCTCCCATGCGGATAATTGGTCTGGCTGCTCGTCATTTTGCAGTCCTTACTTATCACCAGTATCAGCGGTGTCACCATTGCTGTCCTGCACCTGGTGCCTCATACCACCAAACATCATGATACCATTCAAGGTGCTTCATTTTCAATTAACTACTCGCATCTTCACGTTTTCCCATCTTCATCTTCGATGACTGCATGGTTTTTTGATGGATCATTGAAGGGGAGGCTTTTGCTGTCTGCAGGGATTTTCTGCCGAACACGTTGACAAGTGTCTTGGATTCAACGACTTTTTTTGGCTCAGAAACTTGAGACCCTAAACTCCCTAAACCTCGGGCCCGAAACCCCAACGGAGGGAGGTGAGAAAAGGGAGCAGTGATCCTCTCATGTTGTTGCTTGCTTTGTGCGTTGCCAATGCAGACGCCGCAAGATCATAGGTGGTCGCCCAAATGAGGATCTCGTTTCAGGGCCCAGCCGTCTTGTTCGATGTTCCTGCAAAGTTGTACTTACATATATATATATACACACACACACACACCTTTTTGCAGATCACACATTTTCGGGCCAGTTGACAAGTGCCAGGAAGAGTTAGCGTGTCTTGCCAGTCATGTTTTGGCCACTGTTGTCAGGTTGAGTTCCTGTACTCGCGACATGAGCGAGTCTTTATGCTGCTCCTCTTCATACAGTTCGTTTTAGAGGCCTGATTGCCTTTGGACTGCTATGCAGAGGTTTGAGTTCCATTCCCACAGGCCCTACCCTTTATGGCCTGGTCTCACCTCTTCGAATATTGCAAAATCCTTCCAACAGAGGGTACATTTTAGGGTCCTAGAATACATGGTGTACGGCTTCATCTGGGCTATCGATCTTAGATCTGAGAGAATATAGAGACTGTTTAGAGGTTTTCAGTCGGGGCCGCCAACTGCTTGCTGTCTAGAATGTGGCAGTCTCTTTATGCTGCCGTCTTCGTGGTGCGGATGCGGCCGTCCGTCACTCAGCCAGAGGACTACTGGAAGGTAGAATCTGCGATTCGGGTTAAATAACGATACAACCACAATAATGGAGAATCAAATGGAAAAGACGATGGACAATGAAATTGGAAGCTTGGGTTACGTGGTGGATTTGGGGATTCATATTATAATAACCCCTATAATCCTCTATATAACCACAGTTTCCATTTCATTTTCCATTTTCTTTTCCATTTGATTCTCCATTATTGGGGGCAATATAACCCCATTATAGTAGTTTCCATTTTCTTTTCCATTATCCCTATATAACCCCTATATCATCCCTATATAACCCTATATAATCCCTATAGTTTCCATTTTCTTTTCCATTATTCCTAATATTTGGGTTTCAAGATGCCCTGGGCCCTCTACAGGGGATTATAGGGGTTATTATAATATGTATCTGCAACGCTTCAAAGGGTGATTCCCAGCTGGGAGGAAATCAGAGTTCGTTTTTCCTTCATCATGCTCTGTTCTTGTTTTGTGCTTTCTCACAAGGGGGACCCAGAGAGACCCTGAACCCATAGAGACCCCAGGATATACGTGAATTCTACGCAGTGTTGTGGTAACTACCATGTGACTCTTCAAGTCAGGTAGGGGGGCAAACCATGGAGGTGCACCATCAGGTGTCCCACTGCAATGAGGTCTTTTTGAGGCACACCAAGGTATGTCAAAGAGAGATCCACATTTCCAGAGTTTCATCCTAATCTTGGCCTCCCGATGCAACATCCATACTGTACACGTGTAACCTCTTGATCAAAGTTGTGAAGCTTCTTTGTTATGCGAAGGTCCATGTTTGAGCTCGAAGCCATGTACAACTGGGAGATCTCTCCAAAAACAGCAGAGGCGCAGTTGTTGCGCTGGTCATGTTTTTGATCTCATGTCTGGCAACCACATACTGAGGGCAGCTGTGGGAGCAGCAGAAGAAGTAGCGCGGCTACAGTAGGTGTGTTTTTCTTGTCGCCTCTTCCCTTCGCCTGTCTTGCCAATGGTACATGCTTTTACCACTAGGCCATGGAAATCCAGGCAAAGGGATGCAAAGGGCAGGCCTAAAAGAAAGCTGACTGCAAAACTCCTGACTTGTGCGCAGTTAGATTCAGAGTCTTCCGTCTGATGCGGGGCCTTCCCACATGAAATCACATGACAATTTAGTAGTTTCCGTGTTCCATCCTCTTTTCAATTGCTTAAATCCTGAGCCCTGGACCCCCAATTATAGTTTCCATTCCTTTTCCCTATCCCAAGCCCTTTAGCCTAAACCCACCAAACAGTAGCGCACCATGTGGTACAGGGAAAGAGAAGCGTACGGAATCGTCCCACTACCCAATAGAACCCTCCATATACCCCTATATAACCCTATATAATTGTAAACGCTAGCGCGCGCCCGCCTCGGCTGGCCGGGCTTCCCACTGTAGGAACATGTAATTATAGATATACAGGTATTTAAGTTAGGTATATGGATACAGTCATATGCCTA